AAAAAAAAAAAAAAAAAAAAAAAAAAAAAAAAAAAAAAAAATATACCGTCGAATTGAATACCTCCTTCTTTTGGGAAGTCGGTCAAAAAGACAACGTTCCTATTTCATATTATCAAAAAAAAACACCATAAAGTCCCACATCAATATTACTTGCATAAAAACAAATGACTGTTTTCTTTCAAAGAGATAAGGATGACATGTTTCCATACAAGTTTTTCATCAGTAAAAACATAAGAAGGATACAAAACAATATGACATCAGGGAATGCTTACAATTGAAGTTATAACTACATAGTTTATGTACATATTCTGTTATATGCTTTGTCTTATTGTGACATGGTAATAAGATTTTCAATCAAGGCTGTATTGTTTACTAATCTAACTAATATTATAAATGCGAAAGTTTAGATGGATGGATGGATGTTTGTTAGCGTTTGTAGCCTAAACGGCTGACCTGATCTCCATGAAATTTGGCACAGGTTTAAAGCATAGTCTGGAAGAACACATAGACTACTTTTATCCCGGGAATAGTAACGGTTCCCGTGGGATTCATTAATTTAGTTTTTTAATGTTTACTCGATCATTCTGCAACGGTTCAACATATCTTATTGAAATTTGGCACAAATATAAAACAAAGTCTGGAATAAACATTGGATAAGGTTCATCCTCGAGAAATGTCCAGTTCACGAGGGATACGTAGCTTTTTGTTATTTATATAGTTCATATGTTTTCTAATAACATGCGGACGAAGTCGCAGGCAACAGCTCGTAATACAATAATATTTCGAATATATTTATTCAATAATTGATTTAACAGTACGTTTTGTTACTTATTTCCAATTCAATTTAAAAAATATTTTACCGTAATAAATTTCAAATTAATCGTAAAAAAATATTTTGATAAAAAACGAGTTGAAAAACTATTGAATTTCTTTAAAATTATATTAAAACAATCTTACTAATATTATAAATGCGAAATTTAGATGGTTTGTTAGAATTTGTAGCTTAAACTAGTGAACGGATTGCGATGAAATTTGGCATAGATATAGATTATAGTCTGAATGAACACATAAGCTACTTACTTTGAAGTCGGTGTCAATTAATGTAGATTCATTACTTAATTGTTACTATACTTTCAATTGTCAATTGTTATGGTAAAAATGTAGAAATCCTTACATAGAAATATCACTGCATACCTCGACTGACACTGACTTTAAAATAATAATAATTGTACAATATAGACATAAGAACTACAATAAGTGAGGTTTACATATTCAAGGAATTATTTCGCTACTTTTTAGTGTATATTGTTTGGAAGTTAGTTTTGTTTTTTATTCCCACGCGGACGGAGTTTCGAGTTAAAGCAAATTAAATATAAAAATTAACTTGATCAATGAATGGTATTAGAATACTAGAATATTCACAGCTCTATTAGTCCGAGTCACAACTAGTTCACGAGGGCAAACATATACACAACCATAGAATTGATAGAGTCGACAATTTCACATCGGACAGCTCTAAAACAACAATCAGTTTACTATCGAACTGGAGTTCGGAATTTTTGAACAGTCCACGTTTCCCGATATATTCAACGTTTAAATTTACTACCCGTTATCTATGAATATTACTACACTAGCTTTCGCCCTCGACTCCGTCCGCGTGGAATTAATAAAAACAAAAGTGAGTAGCCTATGTGTTCTTCCAGACTATCCTCTACATCTATACCAAATTTCATCGAAATCCGTTCAGCCGATTAGGCTTCAAACTCTAACAAACATCCATCCATCTAAACTTTCGCATTTATAATATTAATAAGATGCGTATGTATCACTAATGGCCAGTTTCCCAGCTATTTTTAACCATTCGTTAGTGTCTTAGATTCGATAACTTCATGTAGTGAGTTTCCGAACTATGTAACTCCAGTTTTATTTTGTTGAAAGTTAAATCAATCTAACACTAATGAATCACAAGATAATAATAAAATAAATTCAAATTTCAACAACGCAAGCATAGAAATGTTAGAAAATCGCTGCTAATTCCTTCAACTTGTCCTAATAAAGCCTATTGCAACATTAATTTCTATTTTGAAAACGGCCAAATCAATAAAGTAGCCATCGTATCAAAGAAATGAAATTAATATCTCAAATATTTATAAATTCTAAAACACGTTTTCCAAACAGACATTTTGTGACCGAATAAATCTTTACTAAATATTCAAAAACAACCAGTTTTGTAAACCGGTCTAATAGAAAGTAATAATCTGTTAAATCTACAATGTTCTAGAAAATAATCAAGGGCAAATAAAACTTTTATTTGTATACATTTTTAGAAGAATAAAAAGAAATTATTTAAGCATCGATTATTGGCTTATACATAGACTAGCTATCGCCCGCGACTCCGTCCGAGTGGAGTTCAAAAAAACAAAATTTAGTAGCCTATGTGTTCTTCCGGACTATCCTTTACGTGTATGCCAAGTTTCATCGAGATCCGTTCAGCCATTTAGGCTACAAACTCTAACAAAACATCCATCCATCTAAACTTTCGCATTTATAATATTAGTAAGATAAAAGAAACCAACAATTATACCTTTGCAATAAAACAAAAGAACAAAACACATTTGACCCATACAAGATGACAATATGCGCCCACGCATATGTCAACGCATTGTTTGTCTTCAAAAAAGGACGCTCGCACACTTTGGAATGCACGAGTGAAATCGACCATGTAAAAATGTATAAAACAATTGAAACAATAGATTAATATAGGTAAATCAAATTGCAATCTATGAATCAATAATAAAAAAAAACTAAATTCTACCTTTTTAACCGTAACTTTTATGTGCAACATTTAAATATTTATGGACCACACATTAAAATTAGAATTTAATCAATTAGAAATGTTGCTATTAAAGTTTTATTATTTTTATGTAGAAATTATCTTGTTTATTAACATTGACATTAAAAAAAACTTCCAGTCATACGTAACATTATATTTGTATGCAAATAAATTGTTTGAGGTCAGTATACGCCTTTATTTTAGATCATTGAACGCATGCACTTAAGCCAACATAACTCTGTCACTCCAATAATAATCTATGTACCTTACTACCTTATTTTAGAGTTCAATATCGATTAAACAGAATGCAATTAACCGCAAACGATTAGAATCATCCGCTCTCGATTTGCGAAGGGACACGCAACGGTAAATTGTAACGGTTAACAATAAAAGTTACGATTTTTAAATATCGAATCGGAAAATCGTTTACATTTAAATATCGAATGCAGATGCAAGTTCAGTTTAAAAAATGTACGTTAATTATTCGGTGACAATACCTTAGGGTTGTAATCGACGATATCGGTATTTCACAAGAGTTACTTCACTAGCCGATCGTGCGTGGTACACAAAAACGAACCCAAAACGTCCGACTGCGCGTACCAAAGCGCACATGCGATTGCGCTGACCCACCCAACACTAATGCTATGAACACAATAGCATCGTCCAGGAAAACCTCCGGTGAATCAGTCCCAAGGGCTAAGATTATTATTGCGCTCACATTTACGCCATTCGAAGCTTAGCACGTCCCTGTTTTATGGGGTACGCGAGTTAAGGAATTTGCTTACAAAAGGAAAACTTCGGCTTCATTGCTGTCAGTTTGTTGACATTCAATTTGTGAAAATTTTATGTTTCTCGCTTTTTCTTTTTACTGAGTGCCGATGAACTGTGAATGTACTCTACGAATCTACGTAATTGACATGTTTTCTTTGAAAGAAGTTTTTCTTTAGTTTGATTATTTAAAAATGCCTACAAAAGTGGAACTATCTTATTTTCTTAATGATTTAATTACAGAGAGGATTGTAAACGAGGATTCTTATTTAAAAAGTAATTTATATAATTTAGAACCTCGATAAGTTAAAGTCCAAGGGAAACACAAATTGTTTTAAGTTATAGAGGTTTTAAGTTATCCATGGTCTATGTTGTAGAGGTTTTGGACTCTGATGGGAAGGGAATATATTATTTTTGAGGTTATAGAGATTTTAAGTTACCGAGGTTTGAGTTATCGAGGCTATAAAGTATTAACCACTTTTATAATTTAATTTATTTAGTTAAATTTCTTAAAAATATTTCCTAGTTCCAGCTAGAGAAACACGAAAAGAATGACAGTTTATGTAATTTTCTTATCTATCGTATTTAGTTATTAGTAAATTACCTCATTAGGTATTAGACATTGACTCATTATTACAAACAATTAAGGAAGTAAGTCGTTCAACGTATCATCAAACTTATTAAAATAATTACTAATATTAGTGTAATCTAGTAATCTCTATTTTAAATGGTCATTGTTTCTCTTGTAGTTGGTTAAACATTTTTTTTATTAAATTAAATCCCTCCATTCGTGTACCGTGTAACCATAGCGTCTTCATAGCATAGGTCTTTGTCCGTCCGTGTTAACATGCATGGCACGGCGGCGGCGCTGGCACTGTCGGAACGGCACTGATAATGCGAACACGGAACACGCTGGTCCATTCTGTTCCGTAATTATACCGCGACAAAAGCTCGATTGTGCACCGGAAGTTAAATGTTCCAACACTAGGAAAGCAAGCTATCCGAGAAATACATTTGGTTTTAGATATCTATATTAAAATAAGAGAAACACATATATGTATCTTACTAATATTGAAATGGCATTAAACCTTACTAAGGAGTAATATTATAAATGTGAAAGTTTGGATGGATGGAGGTTTTGCTAGAGTTGGTAGCCTAAACGGCTGAAGGAATCTCTATGAAATGAATAGCATAGTGTAGATTTGAATAGCATTTGGCATCGATGTAGAGTCTGAATGGACACATAGGCTACTTACTTTTTTAATTACAGGTAGACGGAGTCGCAGGCAAAAGTTTGTATGTATGCAGATTTTAACTGGAAATTCCATAAAAATATTGTTATATTGTAAGCGGCACATACGAATAACAAGCTGTTCTTCAAAAATGATAAAGTCGATGTTCTGGAAGCGTCACAACCGAAATTTTTTGAAGCAAATTGAATTCAATAACAAACATTAAAATTCTCTATATAAAAGGTTATTCGTTAATTCAGATTCTAATTAGATTCAAAGTCTACTTCAGAAGGATTTCCTTATAAAAGCATTTTTAAATTAAAAACAAATCTTAAAGCGTTTTACGTCAATTAAACTCCAGTTTCCCATCTACATTTAACCATTCGTCACTTTTGTTTTTTTTAATTCCACGCGGACGGAGTCACGCGCTTAGTTACAAAATACATCGAAACTTTATCAAACAGGCATCGGTCGTATTAAAATTCAATTGAAAATCAAAGGCATAAAACATGTTTAGTTAAAATTAATTACACATATAAATTGTATATAAACAACAAATATATAGTTATTAGATTGATTTCGAGTATTACTTATTCAGGAAGACGGCATCACGTATTCTGACACAGATTCTATACGCCCTCGATTGTGTTACGCGTGTCCATTGTATCACATCTACACAATTTAAATACTGTAGTTTGCAGTAAAAGATTTTGTGATATTATGAAATGTCACGTCTTCAGATCTTTGCCTTTAAAAGGTTTCAATATATTAACTACCGATCAATCCTGGCTTCGCGTGTGTTTAGTTAAAATATGTTTAGTTACGACATCACATTAGAAACCTCTAAAATTACCGGTATTTCTCTACTGTATTATACACTATTTTACATAAACCTTCCTACTGAACCACTCTAGCTATTAAAAAAACTGCATCAAAATCCGATGCGTACTTTTAAAGATCGAAGCATACATAGAAACAGACAAAAAGCGGGAAGTGATTTTGTTTTACACTATGTAGTGATTTAACCATGAACAAACCATTAACATATTTACTTAAAAACTGTAAACTTATGATCAACCAATATATTTTAATCCTTCAGAGTACTTTATTTTAAAACTAGCTGTTCCGTGCGACTTCATCCGCATGAAGTTATGAAAATTTTATTTTATTGTTTACATTTGTCAAATTATCAATTACAAACGTCAAATGATGATATGATGGCAACCTTGCTTCCTTGATGTTGGCAGTCTCTTTCCCACATTAGGGTTTTAGTTCAAAATATTTACCCCTAAGTTTAATGGCGTTAAAATATATAGTCTAAAGCGTAAAGCAAGTGTAGGGCTTTTTATTAAAAAAAGAATTATTTAAAAATATTCTGTAATTGCTGACATCTTACGCAACAAAGAAGTGTGTGTTTACGCTTTATTATAATAGTATAGATATTGACGTGCTCCATTTATCGTGTGATAATGGAAACGCGTTCCGGTATGCAAATCAGTAAACAATACATCGCGTACGCGTGTTTACACGTGCAGATTATTACATTACGCTATGTATACAAATTAGACGAAATAATACAAACATACACTCGGAAGACATTGAAAACTTTTATCCCATAGTAAATTGTATTACTTAGTAATTTTTCACATCTTTTTTATCTTATCTTCAGTCTTCGCCAATAATTTCCTCGGATTGAAAACTACTACAGCCTTCCAGCATCTACTACCTCTTTCTAGCCCGGATTCATCATCCACTTGCCCTTATCGCTTACGGAGGGTCGGCACAGTATGTGCTGCTCTTCCATACATCTCTATCAGCCGACATATCTGAATCCTTTCTTAAGCATATGCTTTTTCACACAATCCATCCATACTTTCTTCGATCTTCCTCTTCCTTTGTAGCCATTTACATTCCATCTTAACACTCTCTGGTGTATGTCCCTATTATTTCTTTCTAGCCCAGTATAAAATCAATAAATTAAATTAAAAACTAAAATTACAATTTAACTTGACTAGTGAGTGATTAAAACTTACATAACAGTTAAAAATTTATAATGCTAAATTTAAAAACCAAATATTTACAATAAAACGCTAAACAATAATAATAATACAACAAATTTAAATACAATTTGAAGCAATAAAATAAACCGTAGAAATGAAATAAAAATATAATAAAACACAATAAATACTGTAAACCCTAAAATCTTACACCCTTTTAGTATAAGCAAAATAAGCACTAATAATTGCTTATACTTAGTTAATACCTAAGTTTAACTTAATACCGTGCTTATTTGTTAGGCTGCTAAAGTAAAAAGAAACGAAACTTAAATGCTTTACTTCGTAAGCGCTTCTTAATATAATAGACGTCATTGCTGGGAATTTTTTTAAGCGTTGTCTTATAACTAGTTTTCGCCCGCGACTCTGTTCGCGTGACATTAAAAAAAATTATAACATAGCCTATGTTACTCACTGACAACGTAGCTTTTTAATGGTGAAAGTATTTTTCAAATCGGTCCAGTAGTTTTTGAGTTATTTCTTTACAATCAAACAAACAAAGTTTTCCTCTTTATAATATTAAGTATAGAAAATAATATTAAATTTTAGGCAGGAAAGGAAAATGAAATAATATTTTTTTCATACTGATGTATTAAGTCTTTTTAGTACACATCTTGGTAAAATTTGACATCGGAAAGTCGCAATTTGCGACCAACGATGACTGTAACGAGAAAAGTTTTTTGATCAGCTTCGACTCCGGCCGTAGTAAGTGTCATGAGGTTCCTGTAATGAGTTCAAACGAGAACTAATATTAAATTATATAAGATTTTTTAATAACGATGGTTATAATGTTTTTTTTTTTAAGGTAATCACAGTCACAGTAATATTATAAATGCAAAAGTTTAGATGAATGGATGGATGTTTGTTAGAGTTTGTAGCCTAAGGCTGAACGGATTTTTATGAAATTTTGGAATAAATGTAGATGATAGTCTGAAAGAACACGTAGGCTAATAGCATTTGTTTTTTTTTAATTCCGGGCGGATGGAATCACAGGCAAAAGCTAGTATAATATAAGGTGGCAAACGAGCAAGCGGCCACCTGAATCCACCGAAATGGAAAGCGAACGCTGCACATAAACATCCGCAATTGCAGATGCGTTGCCTACCCTCAATTGACGGAGGAGGAGACGTACATAAGGAGGACATTTCCCCTTCCTATGCGTCTCCTCCACCGTCAAATTCACTTTTACTTTCCATCCTTATCAATATTAATAATTGTATCCTTCATTTTTTCTTTTTGTGATTTTCGATTCGTATTTTTCACTCGTATAGTTGAATTGGTCTTTCAACATAACTTTCAATAATTTAAAAGAATAATTTTGCAATTAAAGATATCCTATAAGTTATTTAAGCCTTCTGATATAAGAAAATTATAAAACTTCAAGGAAAAAATTGAGTAACGGTAATTGGAAAAATTAATTAGTTATAACAATTTCCGTTAATATTTTAAATATATAGAAACTTATTATAATATCGTTAGGACTGTAATCGATTTCGCGGAAACTGAAAGTTTGCAAAGTACCGACTAGCAGCAACAGTGGAAGCGAACTCTCCAACAATGTGCTGGATGCAGA